AATTTAGGTCTTAGGCCCTGTTTTCAGAGGAACACAATCCAAGAGCCATCTTCTCCTCGGCTTCCTCCTCATTGTTTCCCCATGAATGTCCCTGTGACCAGGGTTGCTATCTGCAGGGAAAAAGGAAAAGAGAAAAAAGAAAGAAAGAAAGAAAGAAAGAAAGAAAGAAAGAAAGAAAACAGAGCCGCATCCAACCATCTCAGACCTGGGGCCTAATGTTCTCTGGCACTTGGGATGACTTAGAGACTCTCCTCTGTCATTACATGAGCTCATGAGGCTGATAGCATTCTCCCCATTTAAAATTTTTATTTATTTTTTATGTGCATGGGTATTTTGCCTATAACATGTCTATGGGAAAGGGCTTTGGATTTCTGGGGACAGTTGTTATGTTAGACCCCAGGAAAACTCAGGCCTCTGGGGTCTCAGCCCAGGATTGAGGTCACCCCAATCACCAGGTGGATTCGAAAGCTTGCTGCAAACTGCATGAGGCTTTATTATTGTTTAACGAGCTAACCCCATGTTAGCTTGGGTCTTTCACTCACTTGCCATGGCGGATGGCTAGCAAAGACAGCTCAAAGGGGCTGCATAGAGATTTTGTAGGGCAGCGTAAGGGGAGTGTCTAGGGATACGCACAGACTAGGATTGGTGTGTCTCCAGGCTTGGAGGGCTTGCCCTGTGTTGATTGGCCAACTGGTTGTTATGGCCCATAGGCCCTCCCAGGGTGGTTGCTATGCTCTGTGTGTCATTGCTGTGTACTTGTCCGTAAAGCACACCCAGAACCTTAAAGCATACTACCCCCAGCTAACTTCTGATTGGTTCCTTGCCACGAGGCAGACACCTAACCTCTAGTGACCAAGGTACGGTCAGAAAAGCACGTGTTACTGTCATGGCTGCCGAAAGGGGCAGGTATCTGACCTTAGTGACTAAGACAAGGTCAGACAAATACGTGTTCGGCTGTTATGGCTGCCGAAATGGGGAGCTGGTCCCTTCAGTTAGTTTCCCTGTGGGTGCTGGGAATCGAACCCACACTCTCTGGAAGAACAGGAGCTCTTAATGCTGAGTCATGTCTCTAGCCCATAGTAGCCCCATTTTAAGGAAGCTTGGCATGGTGCTGTACACCCAAGCTGTGCTTGGGAGGTTAGGTCAAGCAGATCACTGTGAGTCAGCTTGAGATACACAGGCCAGTCTGGTGTACATAGGAAGATCTTGTCAGAGAAGTGCGGTGCCTGAGAGGGAGAGGGAAGTGAGGTTACTAAGTAAGCAGCCAAAGGCCACACAAAGACTGGCAGATGAGGATCTTTAACCCCCACTGCATGCTCCGTCCTTTGGGGTGAGTTTATCTGAGGAAAACTGAGCAGGGTCCTTTCTTTAAGCACAGCTATTAGTTTCTCTTGAGACAATTTGGTTTTGTTGAACCAGAACGTCTATAATTTGATGAGAGTTACATTTGTAGCAATATCAGCACCATAGCCAGTGAGCATATCCATCACCCCAGAGTTTCCTCGTGTCCCTTCCAGCCCCTGTCTTGTCCACCTGTCTCACTTCTAATGACCCCAATCTGCTGTCTGTAGACTGGCTTGCAGTTTTTATTTTATATAAACGGGATCACACAGCACCTGTCTCTTTTGTCTTGGTCTCATTCTCTCCGTGTGACTATTGTTCCTCTGTGTTACGTGCACCGAAAGATCATGCATCTGACTGGCAAGCTCATCATTCCTCCTTGCTGTTGTATGGTTCAGCAGATCACACGTTTTATTGGTAAGTCATGTTCCACTGCACAGGTACAACAAGCCTCTGTCTCTTTTATGCATATGATTTTCCCCTGTGGGGCTGAGGAATACGATTAGGGGCCTTGTGTGGACTCAGTGAGTGTTTACCTCTGAGCCATCACCCAATGTGGCACACACATGCTCAGCTGTGAATAACCATCTGGGAATGGCATGGCTCAGCCATATGGTTAGGTACATATTTAACTCTTTGTAACGTTGCCAAATGTCAGGAGGACTGTAAATTGGAAGCCAGCCTAGATTATAGCAAACAAACAAAAAGATAAGTTGGGTATGATGGCACACACCTTTGATCCTAGAGCTCCTGAGGCAGAGGTAGAAGGAGTTTTGATCTACATAGGAACTTCAGGGCAGCCAGCACCTCATAGAGAGATCACCATCACCCCCCCCCCCCCCCCCCCCCCCCGCCAAAAAAAAAAAAAAGCGGAAAAGAAAGCAAGCAAACAAAATGTGCTTATATTTTATTTGTTTTTATTTTGGGGGACTGGGTTTGCTATGTAGCCTTAGCTGGCCTGGAGTTCACTATGTAGTGCAGGCTGGCCCCAAACTCACAGAGATCCACCAGCCTCTGCCTCCTGAGTGCTGGGATTAAAGGTGTGTGCCCCACTACAGTGGCTGCTTGTATTTTATTGGATTCTTTGCCGTGTTTTTATTAAGGCTTTTGCTTGTTTGTCTTTCTGGTTTCAGAACAGAAGTGGGAATGAACCCAGGGATTGAGCATGATATAGACAAGCACTCTACTGTGGAACTGTATGCTCAACACTGCTGGTTTTCGTGTTTGTTTTTATAAAAGGGCAGCTCATTATTAAGTTTTAAAAGTCATTTATATATTCTAGATTCAAACCTTTTAAAGATGTCAGTTAAAATACTTTCTTCTGCTGGGTGTTGGTGGAACATGCATGGAGTTCCAGGACAAGGCTATACAGAGAAACTCTGTCTTGAAAAACAAACAAACAAACAATCAAACAAACAACAAAACTCGACAACAAACCTCCCTCCCTCCCTCCCTCCCTCCCTTTCTTCCTCTCTCCTTTTCTTTTACTTTGTATCCCAGGCTGGTCTGAAATGCAGTCCTGCCTTGGCCTCTTCAGTGCTATGATTACTAGAAATACTAAATGTCTTCTCTTCAAGGACAAGCTTTTTGTTTTTTAGATGGTTCTCTGTACATAGCCACGGCTCTCTTGGAACTCTTTATGTAGGCCAGGCTGCCCTCGAGTTCACAGAGATCCATCTGTGTTTGCCTCCCAAGATTAAAGGGGTGCTCCACTATGCCCAGTGTGACAGGCAAAGGTTTTACTTTTGATAAAATCCAATCCAACTTGTCTTTTCTTTCTTTCTTTTTTTTTGGTAATGGATCACATTTTTGGTGTCTAATTCATGGATTTTCTTTAAAATTTCTTTTAGTGTTTAAGGAAGTTCATTTTGGAAGTGACAAGTTGAATGATTTTTTTTTTTTTTTTTAAATGGAAGAACTAAGACCAGGAAAGTTATATACCCCGGGCCAGGTTTTGTGGAAGAAGATGCCCTATTCTGAGCCATAACTGCTGCTCTGGAGTGGGGTGAAGAAATAACACAAATGACCATCAAGGGCACTTAAATGGCCACTGCTTCAGCCTGGAGATGCACCTTCCAGAGTTCTCTCCCATAGGGTTGAAGGATTTCACTGTTTTTTTTTTTTTAATATTGCAAACTGGAAAGTCTTAGTTCTATGCTATAGGTCAGATCAAGGCAGTTGCTGCTTGGAGTGTGTATTAAAATGGAGACAGTGTTGTGGGGTAATCTTTTTGTACACTGTGAAGATGTGTCTTTGCCAAGGTGCTTTCTGATTGGTTTAATGAAGAGCTGAATGGCCAGTAGCTAGGTAGGAAGAGGTTAGACAGGACTCTCTGGGAAAGAGAGAAACTTGGGATGAATCTAGGCAAGGGGGAGATGCCAGTGAGACAGTAACGAAGTCAGACCTATGGTACAGAGGAGAGGTAACTGAGCCACATGGCCGAATGTAGATTAATAAAAACAGGTTAATTTAAGTTTAAGAGTAGTTGAAAGCGCTGAGTTATGGCGGTGCACGCCCTTGATCCCAGCACTTAGGAGGCAAAGATAGGCAGATCTTTGTGAGTTCAAGACCAGCCTGGTCTACAGAGTGAGTTCCAGGTCAGCCTCTAAAGCTACAGAGAAACCTGTCTCAAAAAATCCAAACAAAACAACAACAACAACAAAAGAGCTAGTTGGGAAAAAAACCAAAGCTAAGGCAAAGCTTTCATAATAATAAGTCTCTGCATTGTTGCTTGTGAGCTGGAGGCCCAAAAGAAAGCTTGCTACATTTGTTTCCCAAAGTGCCGCACATAAATGCATATAGGAGAAAGCTGAGAAAGCTGAAAAAAATTCTCAACACAGAGTCAGATATAACTTCCAGGTGACCTCCGCCTCCCAAGCAGGCTGGGTGCTTGTAGCATACAGTGGTGGAGTTTTAATACAGCCGAACACTTGAGCAGCTTGTGTGTTACTGGGGTAGGAGACTAGATAGACACACCTGCAGCAGCTTGGACACAGCAACTTCCCAGGCTGAGAGGAGGAGCGGAGCCAGCAGTCAGTGCCAGGTCATTATTTGTGAACTGGTAGCCCAAAGGAAAGTCCTACAGAAAGACAGGGAAACCAAAGTCTGCAGTTAGATTAACTCAAGTGATGCTGGAATTGATGCAGTGGGATGGAGAGGCAGATCCTCTGTCTAGAGAGATTTCTGAGGTATTAATAGAAAGATCTGGGATGAGAGAGAGAGAGAGAGAGAGAGAGAGAGAGAGAGAGAGTCAGAATATTTGGGGATGTTGACAGAATGGTAAGGCCATAAACTCAGAGATGAAATGTAGAGGGGACAAACTGTGGGAGTATATTTATGAATGGCGGTGGAGCGCCATCAGCCATCTCCAGATGAATGCCACCTGCTGCATCCTCAAGGGATCTTGAGCTGAGCAGGCAAAAGAAAACATGAGACCAGTGTGAGGAGCCGCACTCACATTCGCCATTACAAGATGGCGCTGACATCCGCTGCCGGATCAAGTAAATAACGTTGGTATGCATGTGCCCAGTGTTTTTCCACTTGCCTAGCCTTGCCTATTCCATGGCGTCATATAGGGTGATGAGTCATCCACCTATCCCAGCTGTACACGCACTGCTCAGAGCTTATGAGCCTTTATTAGGGGACGGGATTCTTGGCTCGGGGTCTCCGCCCTGTAAGCTTATGCTCTCTCTCTCAAGATGCATTAAAGCTTTACTGCAGAAGGATCCGAGTGTCCTGTGTCGTTCTTGCCGGCAAGACGATCGCGCGGGACAGACCAGGACATGGGGAATTGATGAAAGCCTATGAAGTGAACACTGTGGGCCAGGCGTGGCGGTATACATCTGTAATCCCAGTGTACTGGCTGGTTTTGTGTCAACTTGACTCAAGCTAGAGTCATCAGAGAGGAAGAAGCCTCAGCTGAGGAAATGCTGCCGTGAGGTCCAGCTGTAAGGCATTTTCTCAATTAGTAATCAATGAAGGTGGGCTCAACCCATTTACGTGGTGCCATTATGGTTTGTGGAGCTGGGTTCTATAAGAAAGCAGGCTGAGCAAGTCATGAAGAGCAGAGCCAGTAAGCAGCACCCCACCATGGCTTCTGCCTCAGCTCCTGCCTCCAGGATCCTGCCCTGCCCTGAGAGGGCGTCTGGCTAACACTGGATTTTGCAAAAGGAGAAACTGAGCAAGGGCAGGAATGCAGACAGTGCTTTCAATGGGGGATTTCAGAACATGGAGCAAGGGAGCAATGATTGTGACCTAGGAAGGAGGGGAAGCCAGTTCTAGGTGTCATGTTGAAACTGTTGTAGGTTATTCCAGTAGAAGCTTTAGACTCCAAAAGTTTAGAGAATGCCCCAGCAATGTTCACACAAAGGATGCCACAAATCTGGGTATCATTGGCTGGGGATTACACCAGCAGGCAACAACTCTCCTGCATTTTCTGTCTGTATTTGTATCACAGCTGGAGGTGGGCAAGCTGTTTGGGTGGGAGAACTCTGTGGTTGTTTTTGAGGTAGTTCTCTTTTGTTCCAGGTTGGCTTCAAACTCACCATGTCACTGAAGGTGGCTTTGAACTTCTGATCCCTTTTCTGGAAGCAGATGTGTGCCCTCAGTTTCAGCAGTACTGAAACTTCAACTTCAAGGTTTGGGCATTCTAGGCAATGAATTCCACCAACTGAGCTATAGCCCTTGTGATGGCTAATTTTGTATATCAATTTGGAGAGGATTTCTTTTTATGAGATTAAGATCTAAGTTGGTGAACTTTAAATAAACACAAATTGTTCTCAGTAATTTAGTGAGCCTCATCCGATCAACTGAAACCTGAATAAAACAAAAAGACTCACTTCCTCTAATGAGAAGGGTTGGTTGTCTACCTTCCAGCCTTTGGATGTTATCTGTACCTTTGACTCTTTTGGGTCTTGAGCCTGTAGATCGGCACTGAATTGTCTGTAGTTGTCAGCATCCATAATCATGTAAGCCGGTTCCCTATAACAAATCTCTATTAGTTCTGTGTTTCTGACATCCCCAAGTGGTACAGACTTGGAGCAGAATGTCACAGGCAAGGTGCAGGCTTCAGATAGCTGCTGGCAATGAAAGGCCAGGCTGAGTTGGAGCAAAATTGGTTACCCAGTTGTGCCTGAACCCAGAAGTGGTTGCTGAGTTGTTTTACATATTGAAACCACTGAATTTATATCAGATGATTTTATACACAAAATTGATTTTTATTATTTATTCAGTTACAAGACATAATCAGGGACAGGAATAATCCCATTATATAACACATCTGATTCCATACAAGTCTGCCAGACCCTCTAGCACAAGGTAATGATGAAATTGATCAACTATTGTTAGGAAATGTGCTAAAGGCCTCAGAATGTCATAAAAAACACCATGTCAATAGCAAAGCTTTGAAAAAAAGACTTTTCCATCACTTGGCAACAAGCTAAGGAAATTATAAGGAAATGTTCTACTTGTTCTTTATACAACCAAACTCCACTACCTGCAGGAAGTAACCCAAAGGGTACTCAAAGGAATGAAATTTGGCAGATGAATGTGTTCCATTTTGCAGAGCTTGGAAAATTAAAATATGTACACCACATCATTAATACCTATTCAGGTTTTCAATGGGCAACTGCTTAGAAGAAAAGGCTGATTTGGCAATTATACATTTTCCAGAAGTTATGGCCATCATGGGTATACCTGCACAAATAATGACAGACAATGCTTCAGCATATGTCTCTAAGAAAACGAAACAGTTTTTGCTTATTATAATATAAAGCATATTACAGGTATCACCACACAATCCTACAGAGCAGGCTGGTATAGGAAGATCAAGTCAAACTCTAAAGGATATGCTAAATAAACAGAAAGAGGTGATAAAGAATCCCAGAAATAGATTGCATAATGCTTTATTAACTTTGAATTTTCTGAATGCTAATGAGAAAAGAACAACAGCTGTGGAGAGACATTGTATAATAGAAAAAAACTATGGGATTAAATCAGCCAGTATACTTCAAAGATGTGTTGACCTCCAAATGGAAGCCAGGACATGTGTTACAGTGGGGAAGAGGTTTTGCTTTTGTTTCTGCAGGTGAAGAAAAGCTATGGATAACATCAAAATTGATAAAGATTTGATTTGAACGAGACACCTCTTAATTAGAAGAGATGATAGTTCATCAAGCAACATGGCCATTTAATCTAAACTAACCTCTAAAACTAACAAATGCATTTGTTTGATCATATCTAACTTGCTAAAGGAGAACCTCCCAAAAATTTAGGGTTGGGGAAGTTTTTTACTTTTTCTTTTAAAGAGAAGCTAAGGAATCTGGACAAATGAGACATCTGAAGAAAAAGGGCAAATCATCCTGAAAAATTGTCCCAAGAAAACCAGTATAGTATTGGTATAGCACATTTCCAACAGAATAAAATTTTATAAATCTTCCCAAATGTTTGTTTCTGCTTTTCTCTACAGACATATAGTGCAAATGGTCTTTTTATAGTCTCAGTCCAATTAAAGATTAAAGCTGGCTTTGGAGTTAGAGTATGGCTCTCTCCTTCTCTAAACCCAAGCATGCTTGTTAAAGAAAAATAAAAAAAATCTCTACCTTATGTCAGAAGAGCCACCTGATATGGAACAGAAGAAAAACAAATATTGAAGGACTATTTTATTGCCTCATCCCATAATCCTTTGGTTTTATAATATTATCTAAAAATTTATAGGATAGCGTATATGTATTTTAAAGTTTTTGTCATGATATTAATGTTCAAACACAGTACTAACTAATTCTAGAAAAAGTTTTCATCTATTTTCATGATTATGATTTCAGGTTTGAGTTTCTACCAGTTTTCTACAGTGAACCATGACCATGCCTAAGAGTGACCTTTGACACCAGGACTATGATAACACCATTAAGCTGAACAACGCCAACAAAGATCAGCTTTGGACTACAAACTGCTCAGAAAAATTTTGAGGTGGCTACCTGAGATGATCCAGCCTCACAGCCTATTTTAGCCAGGACTCGAGACACACTGCACTTCCCTATCACAAAGAGACTGGACAACAAATGATACAGCTGACAATTTCCAAAATTTTTCTTTTCAGGATCCCCTAAAGATGCCTTTTCCCCCAGACAGCAGGAAGTAATTTTAAGAACACCATGCCCACATTCCCAAGTGGTGGGGTGGTGGTTTTTGGTCACCTATTGGGTTATGGATATTTGTCATTGTTTAGGGGGATTTGCTACAGAATGTTGTTGGTTAAGGTCAGGAAGAAAGCTGAACAAAGGGGATTAGATTCAAGGTTTTTGTTTTGAAAATAAAAGGGAATATAGATATGATAGGATAAAAAGGGTAGATTATTGAATCTACTCTAAAAAGAAAAAAGGGAGGATATAGATACAATAAGATAAAAAGGTAGATTATTGAATCCACTCTTAAAAAGCAACTACTACTAGTTTTAAATATTTTACATTGGATTGGACTTCTGTATATTTACACAAATATTGTATATTGATACAAATTTGAGATTAATTTTGTTGAAGTGTACTATTCATATATTTCTAATCTTGTTCAAGGTATTGTACCTATACAGCTCACTTAACAATGTAATGCAAATTTCTAGTCTTGAAAGTTATTACTACCAGCTGTATAAGATAATAAGGAAATGCAGCTTAGTAATTAGTCACCTATTACAATCGAACTTGTAGTCACATTAGGTATGTTTTCAAGATCAAACGGAAATATATTTTAGAAAGACAGGTCATCTTCAAATACTTAAAAGACCTACAGAATTTAAGATATTTTAATAACAAGTATTTTTTTTAATTTAAGAATTTTATTGTAAAGCTCCTTTACAACTTTTAAAGATGGAGAGAGTCTATTATGATTCTTTTAGTGAAATCAAATAATAGCATGACTTAGAATGTCAGTCTTCCACATATGTTCACAAACGTTAATGTGTCTACTTTCATATTTCCATTGGTTTGCAGAGTAAGGAGGACACCTAGTCATTAGTGGTTTACTTTAAACAGGTGACCACCATGTTACCTAAGATGGTTTGTGACTTTAGAGTAGTATTCCTTTAAGCCCTTTCTACCAACTAAACATCTGCTCTAAGGTTCTTTCCTTGGGGATTACCTTCTAAGGTGTGGCCACAGCAGCAACTGAAACAGAGTTCAATGTAAATAAAGAATTTATACTAACACTACTCATGTATAACCATATTTTAGAAACCAACCAAGAATTCTTTCCTTTTTCCTTTTTTAAGGAGGACTGTCTTACCTTGAGTCTGTGATGAAAGGGGAGTGGAATTAGAGAGAAGCACCCTGGGAAGGGAAGGGAAGGGGAGGGAAGGGAGGGAAGGGGGGGAGGGAAGGAGAGGGAAGGGAAGAAGTTCTTTAAGTGGTGGATAAGGATGGTGTGATGGTTGGTATAAATGTCAGCTTCACAAAATCTAGAAACTTCTGGGGGTGGGCTGCTGTGGATGCCCATCGGGGATTATCTTGGTTGTGTTCTTTAAGGTGGGGAGACCCATCCACTGTGTGTGGCACCATTCCTAAAGCCGGGGCTCCTGGATTATTTTAAGAGTGGAGAAAGAGAGGTGAGTACTAGCAAGCTTGCATTTGCATTGCTCTCTTCTGACAGACTTAGTAGGAACAGCTGCTTCAAGCTCCCACCACTATGCTTCCTTGTCATGATGGACTGAACCCATGAGCTAAATGGACTCTTTCTCCTTGAAGTTACTTTTTCTCAGGATATTTTATCACAAAAACTGGAAAAGAAACTAAGACAGATGTGTTTTACAGGAATTGGAAAAACAATTAGCCTGTGTTGAGGTCATATGAAAAATATTGCAATAAAAAAATAAATTAAAAAATTTCTTGGTAACACATGCACCCTCCTCCCCTTTTCTTTTTAGTTTTTAGAGACAATGTTTCTCTGTGTAATAATAGCCTTGGCTGTCTGGAATTCACTCTGTAGAGCAAGCTGGCCTTGAACTCACAGAGATCTGCCTGCCTCTGCCTCCCAAGTGCTGGGATTAAACACGTGCGCCACCACTACTTTGCTGGTAGCACATTCCTTTAATCACAGCATCTAGGAGGTCAAAGCAGGTGGAGTTCTGTGAGTTTGAAACCAGCCTGGTCTACATAGTGAGTTTCAGTCCAGCCTGGACTGTATAGCAAGATCTTGTTAGGATAAAAAAAATAGTTTTATCAACTGGGGTGAGATAGAGCAATGAATCTGTCTATACTGTCTGTTGAAATACATATGTGGGGCTAGCTAGAAACTCAGCTCATAAAGGTCATTGCATAAAACTGGTGACCTGAGCTACATCTCTCAAACCCTCATAATGGTAGGAAGAAAGAACTGTGTCTACACAGTTGTCCCCTGACCTCCACATGGGTACCGTGGCAGATGTGTCCATGTGTGTGTGTGCATGTATGCACTCGAGCAAGCCATATTCATGTGTACAAACAATTAACAATGACACAAAATTTGAAGATACATTTGAGGCTGGTGAGATGGCTTAGCAGGTACAGGCCTGTCCCAAGCCTCATGATCTGAATTCCACACCCAGAACCTACATGGTAGAAGGAGAGAACTGACTTCCACAAATTGTCCTCTAACTGCCACATGTGTGCTGTGGCATGCACACACAATACATAAATTAAAATGCAATTTTAAACAGTAAAAAATAGGTGAAGGCCGGGCATTGGTGGTGCACGCCTTTAATCCCAGCACTCGAGAGGCAGAGGCAGGTGGATCTCTGTGAGTTCGAGACCAGCCTGGTCTACAAGAGCTAGGTCCAGTACAGCCTCCAAAGCTACAGAGAAACCCTGTCTCGAAAAAACCAAAAAAAAAAAAAAAAATCAAAACAAAAGATAGGTGAAGATAATTTTGACAGTTGCTGATAAATTTCACAATAAGGTTAAGACCTAATACAGAAGTTATAAATTTTATTTATTCCTATAGTAGACTAATATGTGATATCTGTTTTCTTTTTAAAATTTATTACATTAGTGTGTGTGTGTGTGTGTGTGTGTGTGTGTGTGTGTGTACATGTGCTTTGGTATGTGTATAGAGGTCAGAGGACTCCTTCATGGGTCTTGCAGACTGAACTTGGACTGTCAGGGTTGGCAGTGGAAACCTTTACACACTGTACTGTCATGTGTAGTTTTCCTTTTCTAAAACCAAAAAGCTATGGTGCATCCATTTAATGATCTGTCCATATAGATATATCTGATATATATCAGTTAGCTGGTGGTGCTATGCTTTAGAGCTCTGGGCGTGCTTTACGGACAAGTGCACAGCAATGACATGCATAGCAACCACTCTGGGAGGGCCTATGGGCCATAACAACCAGTTGACCAATCCAATCAACACAGGGCAAACCCTCCAAGCCTGGAGGCACACCAATCCTGAGCCTGTGCATACCCCTAGACACTCCCCTTACACTGCCGGATAAGATCTCTATGCAGAAGCTTTGAGCCATCTTTCTAGCCACCTGCCATGGCGGGTGCATGAAAGACCAGAGCTAACATGGGGTTAGCTCATTAAACAACTATAATAAAGCCTTGTGCAATTTGTATCAAGCTTTCGACTCCACCTGGTGATTGGGGTGACCCTGGTCCTGGGCTGAGATCCTGGAGGCCTGAGCTTCTGGGGGTCTTTCAAAAGAAACTTCTCTACTGGGGTCTGATAGCTACATTTAGAGAGCAGTTTGATACTATGTAGTAGGTTTACTACTGTGAGCTCCCTAGTCCAGGAGTCTTAGCCAGGCCAGGTTTACAGTACCAAGCATGTGTTTCCTCCAGTGGAGCAGGCTTTAAATCCAACCAGAAAGAAGTCGGTTACCCGCATAACACCCATGCGGCTGTTGCTGCCTCATTATTGTAGTTCAGCGTTCTGAGCTTGGTAAGGCTGTTGGTGGCTCCTCCAACTTCAGCTGCCAACCTTGCATTTCACATGCACATGTACTTACAGAAGATCTATAATATAACTTACTTTTTCTTAACAGAATCTTGCTATGTAGCCAGAAATGGCCTCCAACTTATCATTGTCATACTCCTGCAGCAGTCTCCTAAGAACTGAGATTACAGGCCTGAAATGAGATCCAGCTACCATTTATTAACTGAGGGAACAAAAGCAATTCAAGAAAAAGTACGGTTGGGCTGCAGTGGCACACGTCTTTAATCCCAGCATTTGGGAGGCAGAGACAGGCAGATCTCTGTGAGTTTGAGGTCAGCCTGATCAATAGAGTTCCAGAACAGGCTCCAAAGCTACAGAGAAACCCTGTCTGGAAAAAAGAAAAGAGAGAGAGAAAAGAGCACTGGCTGTTTCAATTCCCAGAAACCACATGGTGGCTCACCAACATCTGTAATGAGATCTGGTGCCCTCTTCTGGCCTGCAGGCAGACATGCAGATACAGCACTCATTAAAACAAAACGAAACAAACAAACAAAAAACCCAACAACAACAAAAAAATAAAATTTAAAGCTGGGTGGTGGTGCATGCCTTTAATCCCAGTACTTGGGAGGCAGAAACAGGAGGATTTCAGAGAGTTCGAGGCCAGCTTGGTATACAAAGGACAGCCAGAACGGTCACACAGAGAAACCCTGTCTCAAAAAATCAAAAAAAAAAGAAAGTATGTTTACCATGACCTCATGCATATAATGTTTGTATTCAAGCATATATTAAATGGATACAAAACTGGACTATCAGAGTTAACCACATATTTTGTCTGATTTAGATCATTTACAAAGAATGCATGAACTCATTTTATGTAATTAAAAAAAAAAAGCTAAGGTCCACCTCCAAGTCTGTCGAATAATAGCAATAGAAAACTGGGGATAGCACTTGGGAGTGGATAAGGAGGAGTTCCAAGACAGTCTGTACTATAGGAGACTGTCTCTAGAACAAATGGACTGAACAAACAGCACAAGACAAAAACCAAAGCCGGTCACAAGTGAACTTCGTTCAGGTGTGCGTGCTAGGGGGCAGAGGAGCTAAGATAGACAAGGTGGCAGGAGAAATTCCCCAAGGGGGAGGAAGGGCAGCTGGGCTTTGTGGTCGCCAGGGGGCAGCAGTGTAGAGCAACCTAAACTTATCCACCAGCCCTTGGCCTCTAAAGCCAGGCAGGACAAGTCAGGGGTCATAGGTCCCACCCCCTTGCCTAAGCCTAGGCCAACTGGAGAGTTTGGAGTCGGGTATGCCCTAATCCGAAAGAGTTTGCCTTTCTGAGCAGTCTTTGACATTAATACCTTACTTGCGCCAAATGGTTCTCACTTCTGCCTCCTTTCTTTTGCAACACCAAAATTAAGTGGGGAAATTGAGTCACTGGGAGGAGAGGGGAAAGGGAGCCGAAGTCAACCCTCCCGGCCTTCCAGAAGAGGAAAGGGGGAGTGTTCTCCAGGAAAACAAAGCGGGGTGGGTGGGGAGGCGGTTGGCTGGGCAGAAGCTGAGCCAGACACATGGAGAAACACTGCCCAGGATCAAAGGAAATATGACATTTGAAAAGAATGTGCGCGTCTGCTTGTGCGGCTGAGCGGGGGGTATGGGGGAGCAGGGCCCGGACTGATTTCCGG